TCCGGATTCGATGGTGGCAACCTACCGCTCGGTTTCCCAGGGCTGGCATTTTGACTGCTCGGCCATCCGACCGTCGTGTCGCCGAGAATGGACTACGGGAACTAGGCTAGTTGTGATTTCTTGTAACCGTGAACGAATCAACAGGCGAGATAAGATTAACTGCAAAACAAATTTTTTATACATAAAATGTTTGATAAATTAATTGATTATTAATGTTCATATATACAGTATATATTAAAATAGACACACAAAAAGCTTTAAGTGACCAGTAAAATATTTAATTGAAAAAACAACAAACGTTTTCGACCGTATTCTTCGGCCTTCTTCAAGTTAAAAGTTCCGAGATTCGAAAATCCGTTGTGCTTAAAGATTTAAAAGTTTTGGAACATACTCAACTTTACGTATAAAATTCATTATGCGCACGCGTATCAAGCATAAACACAAATATATTTATATTTTAAAAATATTATTTTACATCCACATAAAAACGGTGGAAAGCGCCTTAAATGGAGTTGTGGGGTCTTCCCCTTCATAAACAAACTTCCAAGCTGTAGAAATATTAATCGCATCCTTATAGTTAATGCAGTTATTGCGTAACCCCGCTTTGTATATTTCCAGAATTTCTAGCATTCGTATGTGTTTCTTTCTGTGTGATAGTTTAATAAATTTAATACAGTAGTATGTAATCTAATGTAGATTATTACAAATATTTGAATGTTTAAAAGCCATTGTACTGTGTGAAAATTATCACAAAAATGTGAATCTAAATATATGAGTCACAACAGATCAATTATAGATGGAAAATTATGCCTTTTAATATTTATATCAAAGAGATTAAATACATTTAACTTGTTTGTTGTATAAACGTTAATTTGTAACTACAGTAGAAATAATTTATAATTAAGTAAGAAGGAATATTTTATTTCAACAATGTTTACACATGTTCTTTCACTGGCACTCTGACATTCACACATTTCATCAAATATGATTTTAATATTTAATATTAAAATAATGTAAACACAACAACTATAATGTACTACAATATAGTTGACTACACTGTTAAACTTCAAATGTAATAATAGACTATAAAAATATTTTTTAAAATTGATTTTTAATGCTATTTGTTAAGTAAAAATATTACTTTGAGTAACTAATGTTAATTTTTATTTCAAATAAATAATGTAAGCTTTACTAAAATTTTGTTTTATTGTTTTCATGGCAAGAAAACGCATTTTAAAGAAATTAAATAATATACTAAAGTTTCATTAGTCATGTAGAAGAAAATTGTTAAAAATATCAGTTATAGCCTGTTTGAATGTTAAAGTAAAAATATCATCGCATGATAAACACAGAGATAATAAGCATTGATAAACAGAAATAAAACCGTTTATAACTTTCTAATTTTGATAGCAGTCACTTTTTATGTCATATTCTAATAATGATAGTGATGAACATAATTGAATGAAATCAATCGATTTTTCTGCCGATTATTAAATATGATGATTGATTGGTTTTATATAGTTATTGGATGGATTTTTGTTAAATATTGATATAGGCTAAGTTCTTTTAGTAGCTATACTGTTGCAGGCCGGATGACCGAGCGGTCAAGGTGGCAGCCTACTGCTCTGGGGGGAGCCCGGGCTCGAATCTGGACGGGTCGATAAATTCCTAGGAATTTTTTGAGAATTGGTCCGTCCAGATATGTCGGACCCCGTCCCTCACCCGGCCGCTTCATTGTGGGCCTGCCCGAACACATCCATGCTAAAAGAGGCCCTTTTAGTGCCCACAGGGCGGCGGAAAAAGTTAAAAGAAAGTAAACTGTTAAGAAGTACTTTTTACGTTATAAGAGGGGCATTTTTCAATGCCTAATTCTACAATAGACAATCATAGAAAAAGGTGATGAGGGATGGAATCTGGTTTACGATCCAAATTGAACCTAGATATATCAATATTAATAAATTAACGATTGTGACATCTAAATCGAGTTTCATTGATATATAAACTCACTATAATTGTTCATTACCAAATCTTGAGTTTATATTACTATGACATTCTAACAATAAACCATTGGATTTATACTTTTCAAAAGGGAAATTTTTTTAATCGAATATTTTATATGTAAGTTATTAAAATAATAGTAATTTCGTGAACGTAACGTTGACTATATTCAATAATCTATTGATGGCCAGATGGCTGAGGTGGTTAAGCCAAGGCCTACTGTTCTGGGGACCGGGGATCGAATTCGGACAGTCGAAAAACCCGAGGAATTTTCCAGAGATTTGTCCCGAATGTTTCAGGTCCATCTCTCATAACACGGCTGTCCCAATGCGGCGGGATCGGAGCCATAACGGATAATTAAAATGCCCTCCTATTGCCCACAGGGCGAAAATAGTTAAAAATGAAAACAAATTTTTGTATTGGAAGTTTTGTTAATAACATTTACTTGATTTCCGAAAGTTTTAAGTTTTTTCTGTTGGCTTAGACTAAGAAGCTTTTTATTTAGGGCGGGGTTCTATATACCTGAATCAAGCAAAGAAAACAAACACGAATTTGAGTTGATTTTGATCCGGACTCAATCCTATGTCTCCAGAGTTGCACACTGTTGTTTTAGCACCGTTGCCAAGGCATCACGTTGAACGAAAAATTTTGTTTTTGACGCGCGACAATTTGAATATCAAGATATCGATTTCAATTTTTGTTCGATGAATCAAAAAATCATTTTAATTTATTTCTTTATCCACTAATAAATTATTACTACGAAATTTATACAGTATTTGAAGTATTGTATTACACAGTATTTTATAATGATTAATATGTTAAAGCACTATTTTCTTTTAGTTGTAAATATGGCGATTAATAGTGATCTTGTTCTCTACATCAGCGATGAAAAATCGTTTTAAACAGCAAGCCAAATAAAATGTCTGTAAGATAAGCGTGTACCATTTTCCTTTTATCATTTCATGATTTATAAGAATCGAATTAAAGTAGCATATAATGAAAAAATGTAATAAACAATTGTATGTTATTTATTATAATATACAATACAGTAGATCCCCCTATAAGACGGTAGATACGTTCCGTTCTTTATGAATCAATTTTGTAGGAATCATAGTTTACGGACAACGGCTGTTTGAAAGGTTTTCTTTCATAAAATTAATCGATTCTAGACTAATTCGACTCAACATTTCCAAAATACGTATATTTTTTTGAAAATAATCCGTATAAACTACGTTATAAACAAAAAATTGTAGGATTGCTTACCGAGTGTGTACCGTTCGACTACGCCCGTTGCTAAAGCTTGGTTTCGTCGCGGAACAGCGCATCAAACCGCGGCCGCGATTTCTGATATTATTTTTCTGCGAAAACTTCGTTGACCTTTGGAGACATCCTTAATATAAATAATTTTTATGGCCGTTAAATAAGAAATGTTTCTTTCACAAGAAATGTATAAAATTACAGTACTGGACAGACGATAGGTCGCCTAACTCGCCGTAGCGTGACGCTAGACGGCGAAAAATATATATTTAATTATAATAAAGTTACAATAAATTAAGTTAATATATAATTATATGTACAGTACCTAATTTATATATAATTATATGAACAGACGATACTAAACTCAATTTATCCGCCTAAACGTCCGTAGCGTGGCGCTACGGACGGCGGGAAAGTAGTTCGGCTGCCCGATGACGTTTTACCTATTATAGGAGTTATTTTTACCGTTGTTTACGGATACTGCCACAATTTTTATAGGAATCATAACTATAGGAAACGGTTTTATAGGGGGATCTACTGTATTTATACGAATATAATATTTGTATTCATTCATATAATTGACTTTACGAACAAGAAGACTAAAAACAAATTCAATATATTCCGTTATATATACAGTATTTTTAAAGCGACTACGGGCCGGATTACACATATTTACTGGTCGGAGCTGGCCAGTATGCCGTAAACAGTTCATTATTTATTATATAAAAAAAATTAAATTCAGTAATAAATAATGAAGAACATGAGTCAGCATTTATTTTTCTGGTAACAGGAACGATTTGAAATATTCTCTCTCTAATTACAAATGTCAGATGCTCTAATATATAGAATGTTTAAAACCGTAACAACATACTCAAATACTTTTTATTGGTAGTTCAAGGGTCTTTCTATTTATATTATTGTTTTACCTGATCACAATATGGGAACATGATATTGTAATGAATATTCCGTTTTAAGTGATTGGGGGGCCCACCAGTGGCCAAGCGGTTCCGTTCCCTAAACTCTGGGAGTTCGGTCGTGGGTTCGAGGACGGACTGGCCACGTGGAGTTTTTCGTGTTTTCTCCACGTCTGTAACGCCTGAATAGGGAAGGTATCCCCTAGGCTAGGGGTCGGCAGTTTGTCAAATGAGAAGAGCCAAATTGTCATGGAAACAGGATAACAAAAGTACCAGAGAGCTGCATATATGTAATATACATATGTATAGGATATGGATTTTTAGAGGAAAAAAATTTCAAGATGTTTTATTTAAAAATTTAGTTAGAACGGTGTCCATGCATCGCTTTTGATAGCTTTACTATGTCTGGCAAATAGCTACTTATTTTTAATTGAATACATGATTAAGAGAGCCGCAAACGTCTAGGCAAAGGGCCGCATGCGGCTCGCGAGCCGCTCCTACCGTCCCTGCCCTAGGCAGATCGCCCAATTGTTGCGTTGCCATAACTTAACAAACAACAACAATATTTTCTGGACTGTGAAAAATATATTTTGGCGCGCGCTTTCAAAGATTAAAAAAAATAATAATTTTAATGAATAAACGTTATTACAATCTTTATAAAATATTATGTTGTTTTTTATTTTTAATAATTTTTTGCAGAAGGGACAAAATAAAAAGATATTATAAATAAACTTCTTCTTATTCACAAATTATTTCTAAATTTTCGTGATTTTCTATTATTATTGAGTTGGCAACAGTGTAGTGACGAAATATATTCCCGCAAACGTTTGAGATTACGTTATTTGACGAGATCCTTGTTTTTTACCAAGTCATAATTTTATTGTTTAGATAAAATTTAAAATGGATACTCTTGATAGACATAGAATAAAACGAAATATAAATAAGTTAATAGAGTTGTTAGACTTTGATCAGATTTCACCTTTGTTATTAGAAAACAAAGTATTCACCCACATGATGATAGAAGATATAAGAGTAAGACAATTACAGTTTAATGTATTTATAATATTTCATTCTTAATAACAATATATTTCCTTACAGCATTGCATTTTTTGAATTTAAATGAGAATTGCGTTTAAAAGCGGAAATCAAAGACAATACTTTCGTTTTCTTATACAGATAGCCCTCGGTTTACGCCGGCTTCATTTACACCGATTCACAACGCCGCTGCTCAATTCGCCGTTTCGCGGTGTATTCCCCGATTTTCCCTATCCTAGACTGATTTTCATTTCAGTGTTGACGTATTTACCGAGCCGCGACATTGTACAGTACATTCGTTAAAACAAAGATTTTTATTGAATATATTTATTTTTTCTGTTTAACATTATTGGGAATTTTGCATTAAATTAATATTAAAATACTAAACGTTTAGGTACCCACGAGTAAAGTTATTAAGCTTAATGGTTTAATAAATGGCGTCCAAATCCACAGTGCCAATGAATGTATCCCGTATCAGTTCGTTCAGGAAAACACCTTATGATGCAGTAGCACTTCCCGTGATCAAAAACTATCGTTAGTGAGACAAATCTACTTCTCGTTGGCTAGACGATACTTTTTTATTAGCCAGACGATATCTACTTCTTGTCAGTCAGACGATATCTATCTCTCCTTAGCCACCTTGAATCTTCTTACTCAAACTGACCTTAAATATGCGCTACGGCAACCGGTGGTCGACTGATCAGTGTCTCCACTCGTCTGTAGCTCTACGTCGGGTTAACGTATCCTTTCAACTATGGAAAGTTTGATGGATGAACTTTGTGAGTTAGACAATGATTGGAAGCGAAGTGCAAATGTAAAAAGGAGCATCATTGCATCCATTTGATCATATTCCAAAATTCTCAATGAAAGAAAACAAAAATGTAAACAATTAAAGATGGATACTTTTTTCCAAAAAATGTAAGAGATCTGAAACTAAAATTTTTTAATAAAAACATTTCATTTTATTTTATGATAAAATACATTTTAAAAATTAAATTTATTTGTATTTTGTATTATATTGTATTAATAAAAAATTATTTGCTTATTTTTAGAACCTAACCCTATACCTCACTGTAAATATGGGTTCATTTTACGCAGATTTGATTTGCGCCTACTTTTGTAGGAATGGAACTGTGGCATAAACCAAGGGCTACCTGTATTTGGAACCTGTACTATTCTGTTAACTGGGTGCCAGTTAATCAATGAAATCTGATTCGCATTTGCATCTTAATATTTGCTGTATTTTTGATAAAATCGTATGTGAAGATTATTTGAATGCAATTTACTTTTTCCTATAACTTTGTATAAAAGTTATAAAAGTCCATTATGAATTAAACAATGATTGTTGATACACGTTTGATATGGAAAATGATTATGATGATTTTGCATTGGTATAATTAAAATAGTATTTTATGCATAACTTGTGGTTTTATGTTATTTGGCTGTAAATTTGCAATTAGAATAACATTAAAAGTTAAAATTGCACTTTTAAATTTATTTTCAACCTACTTTGCTTAGTATAGCATCTTGTAGTTGCATCATTCAACATCGTGTGGTTATGTAAATTATGTTTCGGGTTAATCTTTACTTATGTGGACTGTCATGGCCACACAGTGGGGACCCACGTTCTAACATTATCATGACAGTCCACGTAAGTAACTACATGGCAGTCCACATTCTAAATTACCATGACAGTCCACGTAAGTAAGATTAACCTATGTTTTATGATAAAAGTGATGTACCTTGTAGATTCTGTAATGTTTTTTCAAAGTTCGCCATAATTGTTCCTTTGGTTAGTTTTGTTAATCTTCGATTTAAAATGGATTTTAGAATATGGCATTTGTCAACTGGCAAAGAAATTGCATTTCATTTTTTTCTAGAAGTTGGAATCTTATATGGTGAGTTAGGAAATAATCCCAGCATGATTATTGATTAGATTAATTATATGTGTTATGTTTTACCAATTCTTTAATATCTCTAATCATTGTAAAATTAGGTAGTGCAAACAATAGTTGTTGAGATGTATAGGTGTCAATATACACAGAAAAAAAATGTTGGACGTTTTCTTCTGTAGCAGTGAGTATTTGGTGGAATTTCAGCCGTGATTCGAAAGAGTGCTTTTTGGTCAATATGTGAGACCGTTTGGCTGAAACATCAATTCATGCAATACGAATTAATGTGAAAGAAGGTAGTATAATATCTTTAGACTTTTGGAAAGCATACAAAACTATTGAGTTAGAAGATGGATACGAACATTTGCAAGTAAACCGCAGGTATAAACTTTGTAGATGCTGAAACTTGATGTCATACTCAAAACATAAAAATAATTGTAAGTTTATTCTTTTGTTAATTGTTCATTATTTCATTGTAATTTTAAACATATGTGAATTACGAAATAAAAAATTGAGTTTGCTAAAAATAAAAATGACTGATGCCCAGTTAACGGAATAGTACTTTATATTTTAAATCACATATTCACCATGTGCTGTTTCTTTATAAAATCACATGTTGGTCAAAATAACAGCAAAATTTATTTATTTTTGAAGTTGAAAATGAATGACCTGTATTTTGGTATCTGTTTTGAGAACTACTGAAAATAATATTGGAGTTCCAATATTAGTGCAGTAAAGTCTTGATGGTTTGAAGCACTATTGCCCTTAAGCCAAAGTAATTGTACTCTCAAATATAAAAATTTTATATTTGGGAGTACAATTGCAGTGCTAAATGAGACAGTGGGACCTTATCAGAGTTGTAGACCATACTTGTGAGAGTAAAAAAGTCAGAGGAACCGTACTCCTATGAGTAACCCTTTGTGAGATATGGCCCCCGAAATCGGTCTTTGTTGGAAGTTTGGAGACTCAAAAATAGGGTAAAATTTAAAAGTGAAAAATCAAATGCTGTATCTCAAAACAGTTCTAAAAATCAACTGTTTTTCACTTTACTCAAAACTGCTAAAAGCTCATAAAATACAAAAAGTTCCATTGCACTGACAACTACTGGGATGTGATTGGAGTCATGCTGTGCACTCCATTAGGTCTATCATATTTTTTAACAAGCATAAAATCTGCAGCAAATATCTTGCCCAGGGTCACAATTAGACATAAGGTTGCTTTGACAACAATATTCTATTTTTTTAATATTAATAAAATAATATAACTTAGTACTTATTAAGTTCTCACAATTTCTTTGGACTTGATACATTAAAAAACTGAACACAAAACTTTTGACATATTCTACTGAACAGTGTCAGATCACACACAAATGTTTTGCATCAAATTCAGCTTCTTCAATTAAACTCCATTTAGTTTCTCCTGCATAAGCTAATATATCATTCAATTTTATTTTGCTAAAGAACATTGTTAATACAGTAAACTCTGTTAACTGTAACTCAAGCAATTAACAAAAAACATTGAAAAAATAATACTTTAAATAAAAGTTTAAAAAATAAAATCAATTTCTAGTGGAAATATAAGTTTAAAAAATGTTAGAGAAGTTTGTTAAGTTAAGAAGTTTTTATTGACTGCCATTTAACTAAACTTGCACACTGCATTCACAAAGTTGTTTTTATAATAAAACTTTGTTACATTAAGTTAAGTTTTTCTTAATTTGCTTTTAATTACTGTATTTCAATATTAATATTAAGTGAATACAGAGTTTATTTTTGAAGACTGCAATATCTTAAGGAGATGATATGTATATGCTTATATTGTCCAATAAATAATTTCTTACAACCTCTGTCTCTGAACTTATTGACTAAATGGAGAAATATAATCTAATTGAAAAGAATAACTATTGTCAAACTTTTGACATTCTCTAACTTTTAGAGATCAATCTCTTGAATTACTATGCAGTCTTCTCCTAGATCTGATAGTTTCCATAATCACAAATGAATCGCCAAACAAAAAGTTTTAATAGTAGAAATAAACAGCAATGAATTTCTTTAACAATAAATATTAAGACAATAAATAATTTGTAATTGTAGATAAAAACAAAACTGGCAGGTTGCCACTATCTGTTAGTGATAAAATGGAAATATTGCATATTTTAAATAAAAAATTTGATCGTTTCTTATGCTTTCTTATGCTAATTGTATATCAGTTACATTAATTTAAATTTATATTAAATTTTTTTTCAGACAGAAAACAATAATAGAGAAAGAAACAGAAAGTTACTAAGTGATCTTTGCACTCGAGGTCCAACAGCTTTTAATAAATTTCTTGCTATTTTGAGACAAACAAATCATAATCAAGCTTTTGATGTTTTATCAGAAAATGAAGAAAATATAAATATTCAGTTAAATATAAATCAGAGAGAAGACTATGAGAGAGATTCATCTGAAATAGGTTAATAAAATGTTTTTTTTCTATAAATTATAAATTTTTTAAAGATTTACTATTTGAAATTTATAACTTTATAATATGATATAAAAGACAAAAATAAATATAATTATTACAATTTTTGAATTTTAATTTGCCTAATTAAGTTTCTGAAGACAAAGTCTGTCAAAAAATTAAATATGCCTAATTAAATTAATTTTTCAATTACAATAGAAAACTCTATAATTCATCACATCTGACCAGGGGGTGATGAATTACAGAAATTGACAAATTATAGAAAATTCTAGGAACAATAATTAAAACACATTTTTGAAATACTTTTGTAGTTTTAATTAACACAATATGTAACTTTTAATCTATTTTTTACAAAAACTACAGAAAACATTTTATCAAAGCTAAGAATATAACTTACAAAAATAACCTTACATACTTTAAATCTTGCCATAATGTTAAAAAAATTATTCGTTGTCTTTGTGTGTGTGTACATATTACATTTAAAAAGTTTTTTTTAACTATTTTTTCACATCCCTTTGTGATTGCTAAGTTTTGCACATGCTGCATTGTGATTTAAATTTGGAATTTCTGCCTCATTTTTCTGTTCATACCAGGGTTGGCATGATTTTAAAAAAATGTTTTAAAGCATAGGCATTGGATTTAAAACATTTTTTTAAAACATGATTTTTTTGGAAATAAAACACTTGATGTAGTAAAATAGAAAAGAAAAAAAAACAGAAAAATTTCAGTGTAATACCCCGTTTGCACCGAGCATTTCGATCTAGATTGTGACTAAGGTTGGAGAGTGTTCCGTGGTGCGAACGCTCTCGACCGTTTCAATCTTGACTGAAACGAGTTCAATTGCAATCGACTGGAGAGAGTTCTCGAAACTAGATCCAGTCATAAGAGAGATTTCACAATCCCATGTGCGCGAGAAAATACAAGAAGGCTGCGGAACACGTGTCGGGCTATCGACAGAGAAATAAAAAAGACAGCTGGAGAGACTATGACATCTGTCTATTATTAGATGTATGGCAAGAAAAAGTATTTATTTCTAACCAAAACTTCCATTTTGTTTGTTGGTGTTTGTGACTTCCGCATAGTTACGTCAGTTTTATGATCGCATGTAATAGCCAGGTTCTTCTCGAGCGGACTGCCTGTGCGAATAGCACAACGTTCGACTAGCGATAGTCACAATCCAGATTGTAGGTAAATCAAGATCTAAGTGAGTCATGGATTGTGTGCGAACGTAGTATTAGACTCAAGAATGTACAGAATGTTGAACAGAAACGTACTCTGCAAAATAATTAATCAAATAACTAACACCTTATTCATTGCCAAGGGAGTTTATTGAAAACTAACATTTTTGATCTAGTCCATAGATCATCTTCAGGTTGAAACATTCAAATTTGGAATAACAAAGAATAGAACACCAAATTCAAATTTAAAGATAGATAAATACCGACAACGTAGCAACTAATTAAAATAAAAATTAAAGCATACAAATACATAAATGTAAAAATAAATAACATACAATTATTAAATATTATTATAAGCCACTCTCCGTTAACCAATAAAAATCATTAAGGTTCCCATAATGCAATTGCGGATATGGCGCAATTCAAGAGCTACTTGCAAGTTTTTTAAGTTTTTTAACGGCATACTTCCATGCTGAGGATAGACCCTCCGCATCTCTGGTGTTTATGCATTCTTCATCTAGCTTGCTCCTGTATATTTCCATTTTTCCGGCAGTTTTCGCTAAAGTTGGGGAATGTCTGACGATTTCCACATCCTCCCACTTAACTACAGATCCTTGGGCCTGAGCCATCTGGGCCAGTACCATTGCATTAGATCTTTTTCTAATATCATATTTATGCTCTCTGACCCTTACTCCTAGGTTTCTCATTGTAACTCCTATGTACTCCTTTTTCTATTCCTAACTGCTGGTTCTTGTACGGGATCCTATAAACTTTTGCTTTATCTTCCTTCATAATATCCCCTTTATCATTTCTTAGAATTTTGTACAGATTCGGAGCTCATTTTAAGATCAATGTTGATCCTTTACTGTCCGCAATCTCCTTCATGATGGTTCTTACATTTTTGTTGAATATACACTTTGTGTATTTACTAGGCCCTTGTATCTCCTATCTCAAATTTTCTAACAATGTTTCTCCTGTAACCCAAGGTTTCTGCAATCTGCATAATCCTGTCGATTTCTTTATTTCAGTTCATAATGTTGTCACAATATAGAAAACACGAAAAGCTAAACTGACTAAAACACGAAAGCTGCTAATTTATAACAAAATGGATCATTGGACTGTGCAGAAATGTAGAGTGGGCTATGTGTTGTTTGGTATACACATTGGTAGATAAATGCCCTTTCTTAAAGATTAAATTGATATCCAAGAAATGTATCAGTACGGAACTTTTCTGATCTAGCTTCAGGTTTAGACCATCTTTGTTATTGTTGGTTATTTCTATAAAATTACTGATTCCTCGATTACTTTTCCATAGTATAAAGATATCGTTTACATATCTCTTGAAGTAAACAATATCATTTCTGAAGCTATGCACAACCAGAAATGAAGTTTTAGAGATGGCTAACCTTGTATGCTGTGAATCCTTCTTTGGCTTTGAAGGCTAAATGTACAAGCAAAACAGGGGAGTTCCTATGGGAAACCCAATTTTGGGGCTTCTATGTGAATTGGTGGTTAGAAAAATAGAGGAAAAGGTTGTGCATAGCTTCAGAAATGATATTGTTTACTTCAAGAGAAATGTAGACGATATCTTTTGTTACTAATTTGGTAAAATTACTGATTTTTGTTTGTTTCAAACTATGGACTGCTAATGCACCTAAATTCAAGTTTCAAATATTATGGAATTCCGAGATACGATAAATCTGAGTTTAGTTTTTTTTTTTTAACATAAATGACGTTATCTGAAAATTTTTAAAGTATAAATATTTACTGAAAAATAGAGTTTCAGTTACCCCAGTATCTCTTTGTAAACCATGTTTGTGGTACTGCCTAATGGGTTGAGAGTTTTTAAGGCTTAATCCTCTCCCTCTTCTCCTTCAGGGGGAATTTTGAAAAATCCTTTCTTAGTGTGAATTTTTGTGACATACCCTAACTGTGTACCAAATTACACCTCTAGGTTCAGCGGTTTGCTCTAGGCGATGATGAATCAGTCAGTCAGTCAGGACATGTAATTTTATATATTTAGATGACTGTGGTATAATGTAGAGATTTTTTTCTATGATATAGTTTCTGATTGAGTATCCTTTCTTATTTCCAATTCATTTGCATTGAATAAAATTAGTTCTGATTCTATAGCGTAGCTTAAAATTGAATTCTTCTAGCTCATCATTCAATAATTAAAATTATAATTGAAGAATTGGATAGATAGCATTATTTTGGAATACTATAATTAAAATTCATATTTATAAATGAGAACATGATCATACTAAAAATATTTGTGTGTATGGGGGTGAGTCTTTTAATAATAATTTTAGAATATTAATGCTTATTTATTAAATTAAATTTTGAAAAGAATTTCAAAGTAAAAAAATAATACTTTTATGTAACTAATTTGGTTCAATTTCAGTTATCCAACCCATAAGTATTCATTTAAAATAATCATTAATCTTTTAAATTTTACAGAATTTTTGATAACTTCTATTAACTTATTTTTGTTATTTTGATTTTGTTAAATCAAATTGGTGATCAAATTAACAAGATGGTGGCTCAAGAAAAGAACAGCCTGCTCAAAGAATTGAAAAAGTCATACCAGCCACTAAATGGATTGAGGACAATGAGGTAATTTAACATTAAATTAACAATTTTTTTTATTTTTATAAAATACTGTATTTAAAAAAAGCTGCAGTATATACGAGTNAAAAATAACCAAAAAAATTTTTTATATACACTTATAAAAATCCATTCACTTAAACAAAATTTAATACTATTTTAATTCTCTTGTGTTTAAACAATTTTAAAAAAATACCACTAAATTTATTAATTATTTTTACAATATTATTAATAAGTTAATTATAAAATATAATTAATTTAATTTAAAACACGTATTTCATTTTATTCCTCTTATTATTATCATTGGGAGAATATTTTTTTCAAATTATTATATGAAATATGAGGGAAAACAAGTTATAATTGGTTTACTTATTGAAAAAAAAGAAAAAAACATTGAACATAAGGAACAAAGACATTTTTCTTTAGCGAAAGAAAAATACAGGAAATTGTCTCGGGTGATGATGGAGAAGATAAATCTTTTATCTATGGTCACCATTCTTGGACATATTTTTATATCTGGATGGATAACTGCTTTAGTAAAGAATTACCACTGTGGCCTTTAACCACAAAAATTGCCCTATTAACACTAAAAAGTAATAATTAATACGAAACTTTAGTAAAGAATTACCACTGTGGCCTTTAACCACAAAAATTGCCCTATTAACACTAAAAAGTAATAATTAATACGAACCTTAATTCAATAATTTCAATATTTATAATTCAATAAGTAAATATTGTTGCTTTATTTTAATGACATTCATATAAAATTTGCAAAATACTACTTTATTGGAGAATTTACTTGCATCAGAGGGCCGTGCCTTGCTTTGATAGAGAGAGGTGGCCGCATAAAAACATTTAAGGGGTGGCATTTCGAAGACTTGTATCGTACTGAGAAAATCTACTGCATGGCTCTGCACATCAGTTGCAATAGCAAGACCCAAGAATTATTCAAGCCTCCTAGCTTGTCAGAGGTGCTTAATTACTAAATATGACATTAAAAAAAAACAAAGTTTGAAAGTATAAAAATTTAAAAAAGTTTCAAGCTTCCATTGAATTCCAAACTCAGACAAACATCAAAATTGCCAGCCAGTGCTATTTTCTAGACTGATTACACACAGCCATGGCTTTTATAGAAGTTAATTGCTCTGTTTTTTCTTTAAAACATTCAAACTTTTTAAATAACTAATGACCATCATGTAAAACACTTAAAAATGTAATGAATTATCAAACTTTCTTCAGGTGTGGCAAACTATCATTTATTGTCAGAAAGTCTTTTTTACCGAGTCAACAAAGAACTATGGCAAGCTAAGGTGTGTCTCATAAATATAAAGGCACAACTTATGAAAATAAAAGTTAAACTAATTATCATGTAACAAAACTAATTTAATTTTGAGGTAGTTACAACTTACAAATAAACATACTAAAAAATCATGTAGTTATATTGTTTAACAACTTAACAATAAATTAATTTAAATCAAAATCATGTTTCTCACTGTCCCAAAAATATAAAGGCATAAAATACAAAATGACTAGAACAGTAGAAAGTATTGTTACAAATCTTTAATAATAATCAACTAATAACCAATACACTTCCCCTTTTTCATTATAACTTTTTAGATACAGTCTGACATTGATTGTATAAGTTTTTGAAGGACTATTGTAGTTATTTTTTCCCAATGGATGTTAATTGCATGTTTTAACTCATCTACACTGTTATATTGGCACCCATTAGCATATACAGCTCTAGCTGAGATTCCTTAGAGGTTTTCCATTGGATTCAAATCTGGGGAATAAGCTGGCCAATCAATAACTGGAACTCCATTACTTAAAACCACCCATAAGTTGATTTAGCTGTGTGGATCTTGTTGGAAAAACCAACAATTTCCAGCAATTCTATCAGCCCATGGCAAAAGATAATTTTCTAGCATGTTTTGATAATGATTTGCATTCATTTGGCCACTGAGGAATGTAATATTTGTCTTGCCAAACCAACTAAACCCACCCCATACCATCTTTGAGCCTCCTCCTTGCTGCCATTTTGAAAATATTTCTTTCTCACCCCTCAAATCATGCCAATAGCAAGTCCAACCATCTGGTCCATCGAAATTAAACTTCTCATCACTCCTGATGATGTGCTTTCATGTGTCTGTCCATCCCATTTTCTCCCATGTCCACTGCAAGTGCTTTTGCTCATAGAAGGTTTGTGATGGTGCAGGCCTTTTCTTCTTATAGATGAGATGCTGATATGTACTAGATTTTGATACATTAAGCTCTGGTTTTGATGATAGTTTTCGTAAAGATGTTTAGTTGCTTTTGATTTTCCTCAAAATACTACATTTTCCTCTATTTGTAAACTTTGAAGGTTGACCTTGATCTGTTGATTTCTTTTGCCCATATTTGTCTCCAAGCTTTATAAAATTGTCAATTACAATTGGATTAATTTTCTTTGCAATTGCTTTTGCTGAGTAATTTTTATATCTTAATGCTGAAATCTTGCCTTTTTAAACATCTGTTAAGGGTTTTGCACATCCCATAATGAAAAACAATTCATTTACATTAATATGTAACAGAAATAAACATTTGAAATATAGTTATACTGTAGTACCGTATGACCTCTATTATTAGAAAACTGAACCTGCCTTTATATTTTTGGGACAGCAAGAAATGTGATTTTGATTTAAATTAATTTATTGTTAAATTGTTAAACAATATAATTACATGATTTTTTAGTATGTTTATTTGTAAGTTCTAAGTACCTCAAAATTAAATTGGTTTATTTAGCTGAATATTTATATTTTCTTCATTTTCTGATAAAACATCAAAAGCTTGCTTATGATTTGTTTGTCTCAAAATAACAAGAAATTTATTAAAAGCCATTGGACCTCGAGTGCAAAGATCATTTAGTAACTTTCTATTTCTTTCTCTATTATTGTTTTCTGTCTGAAAAAATATTAACATAAATTTAAATTAATGTAACTGATATACAATTAGCATAAGAAAGCATAAGAAACTATCAAATTTTTTATTTAAAAAATGCAATATTTCCATTTTATCACTAACAGTTTTGTTTTTATCTACAATTACAAATTATTTATTGTCTTAATATTAATTGCTAAAGAAATTCATTGCTGTTTGTTTCTACTATTAAAATTTTTTGTTTTGCAATTCATTTGTGATTATAGACTGCATAGTAATTCAAGAGATTGATCTCAATAAAAGTTAGAGAATGTCAAAAGTTTGACAATAGTTATGCTTTTCAATTAGATTATATTTCTCCATTTAGTCAATAAGTTCAGAGACAGAGGTTGTAAGAAATTATTTATTGGACAATATAAGCATGTACATATCATCCCCTTAAGATATTCCAGTCTTCAAAAATGAACTCTGTAGTCAAATTCAAAACGAGACGCGTCATTGTTGAATTTCCACAAAAACGTTTATATTACGAGTAAAACGTACATAAGTTACAAGAGTTCACAAACAAAACAATTACAATACTTCAGGTGTAACAAAGTTCAAATACTTTTAAGCCACAACAACAGGTCCGTCGAAAAGGACACCTTGCGACACACTCCTTCCCTTGAGGAAAGGTCCTTAACAAGTTGGTGAGCCGAAATAACTCCTTCAGCAAGTCCGCTGAAACTCTTAATGATGGACTACGATGTGCTTTTGCTGACTCCTGGTCAACACGAGTTCTATTAGCAGGTTGTAGGTGAAATCTTTTCCTCCTTAAAAATCCCGCTTAAACTTAGTTCTTATATACAGATTGGAACGAAGGCAAATCCACCAATCAACACCTAGTAGCTCATTTGGAGGTCTGCAGGTCGTACAATGTCTTCCAGCCAATCCGCGGTCGAGTTTTCAAAATCGCCTGATTGGCGTTCCCATGGTGACAACTGTTGTTCGTTTGAAAAGATGGAAAAGTGCGGGAAATCGTATGCTGGACGATTTTATCCTGACATCTGTATTGACTTAATATTAATATTGAAGTACAGTAATTAAAAGGAAATTAAGAAAAACAACTTAATGTAACAAAGTTTTATTATATGATAATTAGTTTAGCTTTTATTTTCATAATAAGTTGTGACTTTATATTTATGGGATGCATCTTACATGAAAGAAGAGTACACTCAGTCTTCAATATGTGGACAGGATACATTCTGGAAAAGTTGGCTGTAAAACAAAATGCAACATAACATATCATTTATTTGTGTACAAACCCATATAAATTCCACAGGATCTGCTCTAATTTAACAGAAAAATGTTGAAAATCAGAAATTTTTAGTTGAAAATGATTTTTTGTTAAGTTTTTAAGCTGAAACACAAGTAGAAACAAACTCCTGTACACATGACATGTGGTCCAAGGTGTATGTTATTGCTGGATGTTTTTTAAATTACACTGCCAAATCACACGTGACAACATAAAAAAGAAATGTGTAGTCAAATGACTGTTTTGAAGTAAATCACTTAATGTCAAGTACAATATTTGACACACATAATCTGCACACGGAAATTTAAATTCAAGCAGTCAAAATTGAAACCAACTTTGTTGCCAGTTGATTTCAACATAAATAATAAATAAAAATATTTGTTTTTCTTTGGTAATAAAATAAATAGAGAATTAAATGAAATATGGTATAAATAATTACTTTGTTAAATTTAATGTATCAATAAATGGCTGGTTATTTACTGAACTTTGATAATTGTGGGTGTGATAGATGCACATTGTGCCTGCATCAGTAAATACCTGTACTATTTTTTTTTCTTTTTTTCTATATTGAAACTTTTTGGGCCATAAATCAAAACTGATCTATAAAACCAGAAGGCTGTTACAGCAAAAAGCTGTATAAAAAGGACCAAGTGTGTATTGGGAGATGAAGCAGTTGTCCAAACTGCAAGGTGCTTTTTTCTTACAAAATACCAGTTAATACAAAAACCTACAAGATACTTGTTTAAATAGGTGCCAATTTAGAAAACTGATAA